AACTTCTGTATTCTGTAAGAGCACTTTTCTTTGGAATGGGCACAAATATAGATATCTTCTAGTTGACTGGCCAGGTAGCTTTCTTCCAAATTTCTTGGCATAGACAAGTGAGCCTCCAGTGCTGCATAGATTTGTTGAAGCATTTCAATTGATATTCCTTCAATACCTGGAGCTTTGTCTTTTGCCAATGTCTTCAGTCCAGTTTAGACTTCTTCCTTCAGTATCATCAGTTATTGATCATATACTATCTTATGAAATGGTTCATTTCTTTTGGATAATTCTAATTCTTTTGGTTACAGCGACTCTGTATTCCTTCAATCCTCTTTTGATACTTCCTTAGTAATTCAATATTTCCCTCATTGTCAGAGTAAAGGTTAAAGCAGTTATTAAAGAAGGACACAGACAGAGGAAGTGGTTCAGCAACAAGGGCAGGTTTATTGGATAAAACCTGGGAGGGGCTCCTGACCTGAGTCAAAAGGCCCTCTTCCCGTATAGGATAGGTACTTTTAGCTTGTAGAGTGGGCAAGGGGGCGGGAGGCACGTGGTGGTCTTGGATAAGCTCCCGAGCAGTGGTGAGGGGATGTCTGGGTGGATGGGGTGATTGCTTTCTTTTTGGAAATATGAAATTTAACATTTAAGGGAAATGGAAACTTATGTTACAATAGTCCAGGGGCTCGGGAAATGTATAGTTATGTTCCAACAGCCTCAGAGTTTGGGGAATGTCAACTTACGTTATACCAGTCCCACACTTTCTCTTACTCATAGAATCCTTCAGTAGTGGAAGGAACTCAATTTCTTCTGGTCTTTCAGCTTGAAAATTGCTGAGTATGTTCTTCTCTTGTTTTCTTACTCCAGGTCTTTGCACATTTCGTTATAATACATTACTTTGTCTTATTGAGGCGTCCTTTGAAATCTTCTGTTCATCTCTTTTACTTCGTCAAATCTTCCTTTTGCTTTAGCATTCTACATTCAAGAACAAATTTCCAAGTCTCTTCTTTGTGACATTCATTGTGGTCTTTTCTTACTTTTCTGTCTTTAAATGACTCTTTGCTTTCTTCAATGTATGATGTCATCCTACAACTTATCTGATCTTTGGTCATTAGTGTTTAATGTATCAAATCTATTCTGGAGATGGTCTGCAAATACAGGTAGAATATACTCAAGGTCGTATTTTGAACTTGTTTTAATTTTTATCTGCTCCAACTTGAATTTACAGATGAGCAATTAATGGTCTGTTGTGCCATTGGTCCCTGGTCTTGTTCTGACTGATAATATTGACCTTCTCCATTGTCACTTTCCACATATGCTGTTTATTTGAGTCTTGTGTATTTCATCCAGCAAGATCCTCATGTATTGTCACCACTTACGTTGTTGAAAAAGGTATTTGTAATAAATAAGTTATTGGTTTTGCAATATTCTCTCATGTGATCTCTAGCATTGTGTCTCTCATCAAGGCCATATTTTTTCCAAATGCTGATTCTTCTTTGTTTCCAAGTTTTCATTCCAATCACCAGTAATAATGCTTTTTGATTGCATATTTGATCAATTCCATACTGTAGAAGTTGGTAAAAATCTTCGATTTCATCTTTGGTATTAGTGGTTGTTGTATAAATTTGAATAACATTAACTGGTCGATCCTTATAAGTGTATGGATATTATCTTATTACCGACAGAGTGGTAGATGTTGAAATGTTCTTTTTAACAAAGGATGTGGCACCATTCCTCTTCAATTTGTCATTTCTGGCATAGTAAGTCACTACCAGTCCATTTCAGCTTAGTAATGCTCAGGATGTTGATGTTTAGCCAGAGTTACGCAGTCATAGCAATCTTTAAACACCAATAGAGTCATAGTCATGTCATTTCTTTGGGTGAAAAATAGCTTCTTCCTATTGTATCTAGTCTAAGATCTAAAATTCTGAATTTGGCCTCCAAGTGTTTCCCTGAGCTGGTCCTTGTCTATTTCTGGGATCCCATCTTGGTCATGACACTTGAACCACTGATCTCTTTCCATTCTTCCTGTAAAGTGGCATTTTTTGCTGAATTGGTTCTTCACATATAGGAAGCCCTTCCCCCACCATTCCTCAGTTTATTCCTTTCACCCTTTAGACATCAGTCTAAGTGTCACCTCAGAGAAACCTGGCCTCACCACCTAATCTATAGGCAGTTCTTCCAGAGCACAAAGGTCTTTCATTTTATAGCACACCATATGCTTTACTTGAATACTTTTTTCATGTAGTTCTGTGATAAAGATATGTCTTCCCAGAAGACCATGTTTATTTTGTTCATCAACATATTACCAATTGTACAATCTAGGGCTTGGCAAATAGTAGATGCTCAATGAATATATATTGAATATGAATCAGTAAGTTTTTATTTCCTTTCCATCACCTATTTGTTGTGACTTCCATGCCCTTTCTTTTTAAAACACACCCACATCTTACTTTTATACTTTCTTTAACACCTTATTTTCCATATGATACTGTTGTTTTCCTCCTTTCCTTTACTGCCAAGATATGTTGAAGTCCTAACCACTAGTACCTGTGAATGTGACCTTATTTGGAAATAGAGTTTTTAGAAAACCAAGCCCACTACACTGCTGTCAAGTGGATTCTGACACATAGAGAGCCTGTAGAACAGAGGAAAATTCCTCCATAGCTTTTTCAAGATTGTAAATCTTCATGGGAGCAAATAGTTTTCACCTTTCTTCCTTTGAGTGGCTGGTGGGTTTGAACTGCCATCTCCTTGGTTAGCAGCCCAACACTTAATCCAGCACACTTCCAGGACTCCTATGGCATTTATGTTGTTGTTGTTAAGTACCATACAGTCAGTTCCTACTGATAGTGACCCTGTAGAGGGTTTCCGAGGCTGTAAATCTTTACCGGAGCAGAAAGCCTCATCTTTCTTACGCAGAGCAGCTGGTAGTTTTGAACTGCTGACCTTGCGATTCGCAGCCCGATTCATAACCACTATGCTACCAGAGCTCCTTATGGCATTTACAGATGTACTTAAATTGAGGTCCTAACGGTGGTCCTTACTCCAATATAACTGGTGTCCTTAAAAGAAGAGAGAAATTTGGGTATGGATGCTATGTGATGGTAGTGGCAGATGATACAGTTCCAAGCCAATGGATACCAGTTTGATGGCCACCACCAAAAGCTGGGAAGAGGTGAGGAAAGATTCTCCCATACTGGTTTTCAGTGAAAGTTTCGCCTTGTGTTGTTGCTAGGTGCTTCCAGTCGGCGCCCACGCATATTGACACTATGCACAACAGAAGGAAACAGCCCGGTCCTGCGCCATCCTCACAATTGTTTCTCTTGAGCCCATTGTTGCTGCCACTTTGTCAGTCCATCTTGTTGGAAGCCTTTTTTTTTTTTTTCTGACCTTGGCCTTGTGTTGTTGCTAAGTTCTGTAGAGTTGGTTCTGACTCATAGTGCCCCTGAATAGGGTTTCCAAGGAGCGACTGGTTTGTTTAAACCTCCGACCTTGTGGTTAGCAGTCCAGTGCTTATCCTATAGCATTATACCAGGACGTCTTGGCATTGTAGACGTCTTGATTTTGACTCCAGAGCAGTGAAAGAATAAAGTTCTATTGTTTTAAGCTACCCAGTTAGTGATTTTGTATGGCAGCCTTTGTTGTTGTTAGTGTTGTTGATTTGGTTCTGACTCATAGAGACCCTGTATAGAGTTTCCAGAGAATGGCTGGTCAGTTTGGACCTGGTTCAAACTGGCCTTGAGGTCAAGTACTTATCCAAGACCCTAGGCAGCCTTAGGAATCTAATAACACCAAATAGAAAATATATTAAAAACACTTTCCTTTTATGTTTTTGGTGCCCTTGTTTTGCTGGTGTCTTAATTAATCTTTATATCACATACAGCTGTGAGTTAGAGGTAGTTTCATCCAATAGCTAATGAGAGATTTTGGCATTAAACTACTGGGGTTCAAATACTGGCTCTGTTACTTACTGGCTTCGTGACTTTGGGAGAGTTCCTCTCTGTGCCTGTTCTTCTCTGTGCCTCAGTAATTTCATCTTTCAAATGGGGATTATAATAATATTTACCTCATCAGGACTCTGGACCCTGTGTGCTGTTGTTGTTGTGAAGAGCCGTCGAGTCAGTTCCAACCCATAGTGACCCTGTATAGGGTTTCCAAGGAGCAGCTGGTGAGCTTGAGCTGCCAACCTTGCAGTTCAAACGGCTTTGCAGTCTGGTGCATTACCCCACAGCACCACTCCAAGACTCCCTGTGTGTTGTTGTCAGGTGCCATCAAGTCGGAACCGACTCATAGCGACCCCATGCACAGCAGAACGAAACAATGTCTGATCCTGGGCCAACCTCACTACCATTGCCACACTTGACGCCATCAATGATGCCACCTGGCCGATCCATCTCATTGGGGGTCTTCCTCTTTTTCTCTGACCCTCCATCTTACCCAGCATGACATCCTTTTCTAGCAACTGTTCCCTCCTGAAAATATGTCCAAAGTATGAGAGATGAAATTTAGCCATCTTGGCCTCCAAGGAGCACTCTGGCTGCACTTCTTCCAAAACAGATCTATTGGTTCTTTTGGCAGTCCATGGCACCTTCAGTATTCTCCTCCAACACCACAATTCAAAGGCATCAATTCTTCTATGATCTTCTTTATTCACTGTCCAGCTTTCGCATCCATATGAGGCTATTGAAAACACCATGGCCTGGGTCAGGCGCACCTTAGTCCTCAAGCTGACATCTTTGCTCGTCAACACTTTAAAAAGTTCCTGTGCAGCAGATTTGCCTAATGCAATACATGTGTAATAAGTGCTATATATTGGTGTCTGGTACTAATATAGACTGCATACTGATTTGGCAATGCCCTTTTCTCCACACTGTTAAACTCCTTGAGGGCAGACACTACACCTTATTTACCAACACAAAACCTGGCACCAAGTGCCCACACAGGTAATATTTACTGAATGATGGCTAACCAGTAGGCAAGTAAATGTGACTCCACTGATTTTCTTGCAGACCTCCCTAAGTTTCCTGGCACACCTAGAGAAACAAGATCTAATAAATGAGGATGAGCTGGTGACACTGAAGGAGCTCTGCAAAAATGTTGCACCTAGGCTTATAAAAAAGATAGAGAAATACAATACAGAAAAAAGTAAGTAGTGGATGCTTGCTTGCATCTCAGGAATTCTTAAGCAAATTGGTTCAGTCGTCACTCTTAGAATATTTTCTTGGGAAAGCCAGAAATATCCTTCATTTGTTCTTTCAACACATATTTACTGAACGCCAACTGTACCAGACGCTGAGGTAGGAGCTAGGGATACAGCAGGGTACAGAACAAAGCTCCTGCTCTCTTGGACCTTATATTCTATTGTTGTTGTTAAGTGCCATCGAGTCAGTTCTGATGCAGAACACCCATTTGTTGTTGTTGTTCAGTGCCGTCGAGTCGGTTCCAACCCATAGCGACCCTGTATAGGGTTTCTGAGGAGCAGTTGGTGGGTTTGAACCACCAACCTTGTGGTTAGCAGTCCAGCACTTATCCTACAGCACCATTAGATTGTTTTTGTTGTTTTGTGCCGTGGAGTCGGTTCCGACTCATAGCGAACCTGTACAGGGTTTCTGAAGCTATAAATCTTTATGGGAGCAGAAAATCTCATCTTTCTCCCATGAAACAGCTGGTAGTTTCAAACTGCCGGCCTTGAGGTTAGCTGCCTGATTTGTAATCACTACACTACCAGAGCTCCTTTTGCAGTCACATTGTTGTTGTTGTTATTGTTAGGTGCTATCGAGTCGGCACCGACTCACAGGGACCCTATATAGTACAGCAGACTGAAACACTGCCCCATCCTGGGCCAACCTCACTACTGTTGCTACGCTTGACACCATAAATTTAGCTAGTAAGTACATAAATTTCATATAGTACATAGTAACTTTAAGGAACTAATAAAAGACAAATATAAAAGTAATAAAAATATGAAACTAATAACAAATGAAATAACATACAGCAACAATAGTTTGTACATTCAGAATTTTTTCTGAGTATATTTATGAGCCTCCAGAAGCAAATGTCAATAGAAATAGGGGCCCTTAAAAGAATTTCTTTTGACAACTGCTTTTTGATGATTGGTTCTTTTGGATTGCTACTAGCCAGAAGGTGATCTTTGTTTTTATATCTGTGATTTTAATTCCAGTCTCTCAGACAATGACACTTCCTAAAGACAGGGAAACTGAGACCCCGGGAGAGGAAGAGTTATCATCTCTTTTAGGCAATATGCAAGTCTGTGAACTCTTGCAGGTAGGTAAAAAGGTATGCAGGTAAGTGACTAACAATACCTACACCCCTTAGGGGGAAAAGTAGAAAAGAAAGGAGGAAAAAATAAAAGAAAAAGACAAGAAGGGAAGAGGAAAGATGCCCTGATTTGTAGTATTTACTGATTTCTATGGTGTAAATGGAGTCCTGTCATGGCGCTGTGGGTTAATGCGCCAGACTGCAAAGCCCTTTGAACTGCAAGGTTGGCAGTTCAAGCTCACTAGCTGCTCCTCGGAAACCCTATACAGGGTTGCTATGGGTCAGAATCAACTCGATGGCACTTATCAACAACCACATGGTATAAATACTCCCTCTGTGGCTGATTCTAAGCTGGCAACATGACATCAACCAGACTGAAAAATTCCAGAAAATGTTAACAATTGGCTCTTATTAGTTAGTTTGAGCTGACCCCAGTACACCACTTTGAAATGATTCTTTTGTACTTATCTGTGGGATGCCATCAGGTCCAAGGTCACGGCCATACAATCTGTATGGTGGTATAGGGTCCCATGTTGTCACCATTCTGACAATCTTCATGATTTTTGAAATGCTTCATTTTTATCTTGTACACAAACTATGTCACTAGTTCATTCCAGAGAGCAAGGACTGAGTTCTCTGTGGTGGGTGCCCTGCTGGAAAGTGTAAGATGAAGGCAAGACAGGTAGAATTTTCAATCTGCCCCCTACAATGTGGTCATGGTCCTTGGGAGACATGATTCAGGGGGGAAAACATCCCAAATGTAAATATATTTATTTATTAAATCATAAATAGGACAAAGACAAGACAAAGATTATCAGATGAGGCAGTAATGGTGCCCAAAGGCATCACAGCCACATGGCCAATTATATAACATGGAAAACTAAAGAAGTTTGTCACCAAATCATGACTGGTTGCAGATCAAGTCCTCACAATCACAGGCAGGACTATGGGAGTGGGAAAGTGGCCATGGTTGGGATACATACACTATTGGAGATTAGGAAAGTTTACAGGGCTGGTTCTAGGCCCTCCGACCATCTTGGTCAGGACCAAAGTCACCATAGGCAAATCCCTGGGAGGGAGACTGCTCCCTGAGAAGGAGGCTAGGTGTGTGTTCTTAATCCATTTTCAAAATCTGCCTAAGGACAAAGCTTTTTACATTGCCATTATTGGTCATAAAGAACCCAATGGAGACTGAATTTATGTTAAGAAAGTTGGAGGTTTAAACTCACCAACTGCTCCTTGGAAACCCTATACAGGGTCTCTATATTCAGAACCGACTTGATGGCACTTAACAACAATAATAACAAATTCTCTGTAAAATCATCGTTTAATTTTCAGTCCCTTCTTTGATAATACTTTTTATAATCTTGCTAAATTTATCAATAAAAACCTTTAATCTACAACTGAATGCTCTGAATTTAAGCTCTAATACAGACACATGGCTTCCTTCTCTGAAAACAGTCTAAAGAAGACTGAATGTGGCCAATCTATGGGGCAACATTCATTTACTTGCTCATTTGCTCCTCTCTGACACAAAGACTGTGTGTGTGTGGGTTGTCAACTGAAAATGCAACATCCTTAGGGAAAGAGAGACAGATAGATCCTAAAGCTAGTTCCTGGTTCCTGCTCCTACTGCATTCATCAGCTTCACGGTGGAGAGAAATCAAGGAAGCCTTTAGTCTAGAGGTGCCTGCATCTTTGATGCTCATAATCCCAGAGGATTCACACAACTGCTTTCAAAACCAGGTGGACAAAACCAGAGCAGGGATTTCGATCCTGAAGGAAGGGAAGCATGAAAAGATAGGCAAGCAGTCTCTGGGAAAATGAACCTGAACTTCCTGTGCATTTGTTCCCTCTGAGCTAAGGAATTCTGATTTTGTGCAGCATACACACCCTGGGTTTGGGCTTCAGTCTGCTTGAAGACAGACCTCCTTCAGTCAGAGGTCTATGGGGATCCTGTGTGAGCGGCATCCTCAATGACCTGGGTCACTTGGCAGACACCGCATAGCGGGTCCACACGCTGCCAGCCACACAGCTAGTGGTGGGTTGGCTCCGACCCACACCATGTTGGCCATGTCCTCTTTGGAACTCTGTGGTAAGGGTCAGGGTGGAGAGAATGAAGAAAAGACAAACCTACTCGAGACCTTGCATTAATTTTGTACTTTAATTATATAAAACCTTTATGAAGCTCCAAAGTAAAAACTATAGATACAGTATACCGAGAGATGTCTGGATGCATCCCTGGCTCCCTGTTCCTTTCTCCTTCCCTCACTGATTACCATCTTTTTCAGTTGTTTTGGGTTAATCTTTCCACTGCTACATTTGAAAAAAACAACCCCAAAAACCTCCCTTTTATAACAAAATCATACTAAAAGATCCTCCTTCGCTTTGAACACTGTCTTCTTGAGATCACTCACGTAAATGCACCTCATCCACCATGTGGAGGGACCAGACTATTTCATCCACTCTCTTTGGTGGGCATTAGGGTTATTTCCACTCTTTGGGTATTCCAAGCAGTGCCACAATGAAGAAATGCCCTGGTGCAGATGACGTGCTCTATTTTTGCTAGTGTATCTTCACCTCTGGAAGGAGGGAGTGGCTTATCTTCCTGTCCCCTGCCAATGGCCTTTCTTATGGCAGGAAATTAGAAGCCCACCCTTCTCTGTGTCAAATTGAGACTTTCACTCTTATCCTAATGAGAATTTCCTGCATTTCCCATTTCTTCCACAGAAGAAGCCCTGTGAAAATAAGCACCGAAGGAGTAATGGTAGGTGTTTCTAGTACACTTTTCACAACTTGGATCAGTGTGGCAGGAATAGATGTATTTGATATGTACCAGGAATATCAAGTATATGCCTGGTACATATTAAATATATTACTTGGGAAATGTCATACAAATTGGTGTAGAATTTATGTCTCATGCCAAGTCAAGTGAAGTCGTTGGATGCATGGGTTCTAACTGGCTTTTCTGTGAGGAGATGTGGAGAGCTGGTGGTTTCTACTGGGAAAGTTTAGGAGAGCAGTACCTGGAGAATGCAGGCAGTGCTCTCCTTCCACGCTTGATAAGTTGGTCCCCCTCTGTGGGGCTGAAACCCCTCAGCAATAAGAGCAGAATGTGCAATCTGAGGGAATGTCTTCTTCAGAGTGCTAGGTTTCCACTATTTACTAGAAGGTCCCCCCTCTATGAGGAGGGGGAAGCCCTCAATGGAGCAGAAACCTCCAGGTCAGCTGTGAAAGACTAGAATATGCAGTCTGAGGGATGAGAGAAACCAGAAGGAAGGCCTTGGCAACATTGTGTTTAGTGGCTGAATCCCTGTGCGAACGATGACCCTGGGAAAACACTCCAGAATCTGTCATTAGACTAAACTGCTTGTGAATAAACAGATATTTGGTGTGGTCTTTCTGTGACATGTAAAGTTCCATTAGAACCCATCCTCCCTGTTCTTGATTTTGAAGTTTAAGTTCAGATTCCAAGATCCACGACTTTCCTAGAGCTCTTCATATCTAAATGTTGCTGATGTTGGTGAGAGTTAGCATTTATTGAGTACTGTCATGTGCCGGATTATGTCATTTGATTTTGCAACCATCTGGAGATTGGTACCATTCTCACTCCTATGCAATGATTAGGAAACTGAGACCCATGAGGTCTAGTACTTTGCTGAAGGTCAGGCAACTAGAAAGGGCTGGAGTTGGCATTTGAACCCAGCAGTCTGACTCCAGAGTCCATCCACCAAAAACTTGGTCTACCATTGGCGTGGTCCTGGAGGGTAAACACTGGACTGGGGACCATAAGGCTGGCAGTCCAAACCCACCAGATGCTCTTTGGAAATCATATACAGGGTCTGTATGAATTGCAACTGACTCTACGGAACTTAGCAAACAACACTGTGTAGATATCTGTACTCAGATGACTTTACTTTCTGTAGACTATGTATAAGAGTTTCTTCCAGCTTTATAATTCTGTGGCTCTAAAGGTTAGACCTGGCTTCCTCTAGAATGTTACCTTCTTCACAAGGTGAGGAGGAATTTACAGGTGCTCAGTGTGAATGCAGAATCCTGGTCTGGCACTGTACTGGTCTGCTAACCATAAGGTTGGTAGTTCAAACCCACCAAACCCTATACAGGGTTGCTTGAGTTGGATCCAACTCTGTGGCACTTAATAACAACAGTGCAAACACAAGTTGGTTTCCTTTCAGTATGGTCTCTGGTCTGGGGAATACTGGACTTGCTCAGCTTGAGTTGAGTACCACGGCTGACTTTTAACATAGCAATGAACTCAGACCTCAGAGGCGATGGCAGAGCTCAATGAATTCTGCTAAATATGCTGGGAGTCAGGAAAGAATTCAGTTTCAAGTTACATTTTTCTGTAACAACTAACTCCTCATTGCCTTTCTCTCTATGATAGAGTCTTATCCAGAGGAACCAGAGAATTTGCAGGGACACTTAGCACTAATGGAGTCCTCAGCCAGTGCCAATGGTATGAACACTGAGCTCATCCCAGTACCTTGGATCGGTTTTGTCCTACCCAAACTGGTCTCTGGAACCTCTTTTTTGTTTCTCTCTTCTCTTCTGGGTGTCTGCCTCTGTACGTCCAATAAAAGATAAATGTTGATTCAGCTCACCCAAACTTTCTACCAGGAAAGCTGAAACTGATCCTAATTCCAGGATTGGAGGAAGACTCATTGACAATCTGCGATATGCAGATGATACAACCTTGTTTGCTGAAAGTTAAGAGGACTTAAAATAGTTACTGATGAAGATCAAAGAGCACAGCCTTCGGTATGGATTGCATTTGAATGTAAAGAAAACAAAAATCCTCACCACTGGACCAATAAACAACATTCTTATCAATGGAGAAAAGATTGAAGTTGGCAAGGACTTTATTCTTCTTGGATCAACTGTCAACACTCATGGAAACAGCAGTCAAGAAATCAAATGACGTGTTGCATTAGGCAAATCTGCTGCAGAAGACGTTTTGAAAGTGTTGAAGAGCAAAGATGTCAGCTTGAGGGCTAAGGTGCACCTGACCCAAGCCAAGGTATTTTCAATAACCTCAATTGCATGTGAAAGCTGGACAGTGAATAAGGAAGACAATAGAAGAATTGATGCTTTTGAGTTATGGTGTTTGAGTGAAAGTACCATGGTCTGCCAAAAGAACCAACAGATCTGTGTTGGAAGAAGTGCAGCCAGAGTGCTCCTTAGAGGCCAGGATGGTCAAACTTTGTCTCTCATGCTTTGGACATATTGTCAGGAGGGACCAGTCACTGGAGAAGGATATCATGTTTGGTAAGGTGGAGGGTCAGAGAAAAAGAGGAAGACCCCCAGCGAGATGGATAGGCAAAGTGGCAGCATCAATGGGTTCAAGCGTGGCAACGATACTGAGGTTGGCTCAGGATGGGGCAGTGTTTTGTTCTGCTGTGCATACGATCGCTATGAGTTGGTACCGACTCGATGGCACATAGCAACAACAAAAACAACAGTTCCCAAGCCCATCTTCTGCCAGCTACGTTGTCTCCAACCCTGACAATACTAAAGTAATACGATGACATCAATGTATCAAGAAAGGCATGGACCTTGAATTTATGCCTCAGGAGTAACTTGAGAGAGAAAAAATTTCTCCAGAATGTGATGCTTTGTCAGAAAAATATTAGTAAGGAAATTTTAGTGCTTGGGGAAAGAGATTTGAAAAATTTGAGTGTCTCTCTTTCTAGGTGACAGGACCCTATATGGTACACAAAGCCTGATTTCCGAGGAGATGCGAGTAACGGCTGACATCATGAATGCTGAAACCAGCAGAAAGGTTTGGATAGTGTATTAGTTTCCTAACTGGGTGGCTTGTAAGGATAGAAATGTATTGTCTAGAGTTCTAGGAGCTGGGAGTCTAAATGCAGAAATTGGCCTGGTCTGCTCTCTCTCTCTGTTGGCACTAGGGGATCACCCTTTCTTGTCTCTTCCCTCTTTGGTAGCCGCAGACCCCCTTGGCTCCTTGGCTTCTAGATACATCTTCACATGGCCGTCTTCCCCTGTCTGTGTCTCTCTGTTTCTTCTTCTCTTTATTTTCGCTGGACTAGGACCTACCGTACCTTGGTAAGATTGCTTGTTAAAGTAACGAATAACATCTTCAAAAACTCTAGTTCCAAACATGATCACTTTCTCATGTAGCAGACATGGGGGGAGGAGCAGGGGGCAGACAACTCAATCCATAAAAGATGGTTTCTTCAGCTGCCCTAAGGTCCAGTCCTCAAAGACTTTGAGAACCCAGGGCTGTATATGATGCAGTTCTTTTATCTCTGTGATTACTACCATTCGACCTGTCTTGTTCTGTGACAATCAGCAATGTGTTGACTTTGACTGTGGAGGTGATAGTATTTATCTTTCAACTAAACACATGGAGGGGAAGATTCTTTTTTATTGACAGAAGACACTTTTTCTTTTCTGGTTAGAACAACGATATAACATGTTTTCAGGATCATGTTTTAGAAGCTTCCCTGAAGCTTCTAAAATGGTAATTGCATGCTGTTTACAATGGCATTGCAAGTCGTCCATCGTGTTGGTGTGCCTTGGAGGAGATTCCAACTCCTAGTGACCCTCTATAGGGTTTCTGAGGCTGTAAGTCTTTATGGGAGCAGAAAGCCTCTTCTTTCTCCCTTGGAGTGTCTAGTGGACCCAAACTGCTGACCTTTCATTTGGCAACCCAACACATAATCGCTACACTACCGAGGTTTCTTGATGTTTACCATAGCCTTTAAAAATATTGCATAAATATCTTCAAATTTCTACCATGGTTATGAAGCGCCTTGGTGGCACAATGGTTAAGTTCTCAAAAGGGTTGAAAATTGAAAGTGCTAACCAAAAGGTCAAGGAGCTCTGGTAGCATAGTGGTTACAAGTTGGGCTGCTAACCTCAAGGTCAGCAGTTCGAAACTACTAGCTGTTTCATGGAAGAAAGATGAGACTTTCTGCTCCCATAAAGATTCACAGCCTCAGAAACCCTATAGAGTGTCACCATGAGTTGGAACCGACTTCATAGCACAACACTACCACCAACAACCAAAAAAGGTCAGCAGATGGAACCTACCAGTTAATCTTCAGGAGATAGATGTGGCTGTCTGCTTCCGGTATGATTGCAGCCTTTTAAACCCTATGGGGCAGTTCTGTCTTGTAGGGTTACTGTAAGTCAGAATCAACTCCATGGCAATGGATAATAGCAGGATTATAGACATAATTTTTGCATTCAGAAACAATGTTGCAAAAGAAATGTCTCTGTTTTCAGAGGAATCAAATCATTCCAGAATCCTAGCTACAAAAAAAGAAAGATCACCTACTTTTTTCTTGTTTGGTTTATTTTTATGTATGCTTTCTTTCTTCACTCTGCTAATCCAAAAACAGAAGAAACTTTTGCACAAATCTTTGGTTTTATCAGTGTTATACATATTCTGTTTGTTAACCCTGAGAACTAAAGTTCTTTAATTAAACCAGATAAATTCTGAATTTTACCTGGGACCTGATGTTCTGCTTTGGAATTTATTGGTTAGTTCTTGTAGTGCGGTGGAATGTCAGCTTGAACCATAAGGCCGGTGGTTCAAATTCACCAGCTGCTCCTTGGAAACCCTTTACAGGGTCTCTGTGAGTCAGAACCAACTCGACAGCTCTTAACAACAACAACAACAGAGCAGGATCTTGAGAACTTCCCACCTCTGATTTGATTTTAAATGAATGTCCAGGAGGAGCTCATGAGACCTGAGACAATGGAAGTGGCTGATCTTCAGTGAAATGAGGTTGACCTTTGGTTCAGAGTTCTATCACTTAAAAACTGTCTGTGAAATTATTTTCAGGCTACAGTTTAGTAGTAAAGTTGAATACATGTTGTTGTGCTGTTGTGAAGTGCCATCAAGTCAGTTCTGACCCATAGTGACCCTGTATAGGGTTTCTGAGGAGCAGCTGTTGACCTTGAACTGCCGACCTTGCAGTTCAAACAGCTTTGCAGTTTGGCGCATTAACCCACAGCACATTGCCAGTCTCTCAATATGTGACTTTAGAAATAGCATGGCATGAATATCTTGGAATCAAGATATTTAGACAGTAGTATAAAAATATAGCTTAAAAACTGGCATTAACAGATATATCCTGCTCTGTGTCAAATGGGACCGATTGAAGGGCAGAGACGGAGTCCAGAGAAGAATGTCAATAAAGGCCTATTTTTCAGAGGACCAGGTAAGGAATGTATGGCAAAGACAGAAGTGAAATTGTCAGAGCAATGGCAGGCGACCAAGGATAATATAATGTCAGGGAAGGTGAAAGTGACACATTGTTGTTGTTGTTAAGTGCTGTCGTGTTGGTTCCATTGAATAGCAACCCTGTATAAGGTGTCTTAGGAGCAGCTGGTGAGCTGGAATCACGGACCTTGCGGTTCAAACAGACTTTGCAGTCCAGCGCATTAACCCACAGAGCCACACCAGGACTCCAAACGTGACGCATGGTAGACACTAAACATGAATGAGTGACACAAATGAATGAAGGAATCAATAAAAGGCTCCATGCCCATGTTCACACTGCTTCTTCTGCCCAGCACATCTTTCCCCTACTTCTTTGCCTAGCACCTATTTTTCATCTCTACAAGTCTCCCTTGATCCTGTTGCATGCTACATGCTTCCACAACATCCTGCTTTATGGTGTGCATGTTTGTCCTCATTCTGCTTCTTTGTCCCCAATCTACTCCTCCAGATTGTGAATATCTTAAGGGCATGGATTGTGTCTTTTCTCTGGATCTCCCTTTCCAGATGGATGCACAGGTAAATAGATGGGTGGCTAGACAGACAGGTGTGTGGAACAACTCAGAACTCTAACTTTGGAACCAAATCCTTCAGATTAAAAATCTCTAACCCGGGGTAGTGTAGTGGTTATGAGTTCGGCTGCTAACCTCTGTTCAGCAGTTCAAAACCATCAGCTGTTCTGCAAGAGAAAGATGAGGCTTTCTGGTCCCATAAAGATTTACAGCTTCGGAAACCCCATGCAGGGTGGTTTTGAGTTGGAATTGACTCCACGACCCACCACCATCACTGCCATCGACCCCTTAAAATGAGAATTCCCTTATATGTGTTTCGATCTCATTTTTCAAGGAGGCAAATGCATACAGAATGGATCGGAAACACAGAGGCCATTGTGTCATTGTCAGCAACCACAACTTTACCTCACTGTCAGCCAGACCAGGGACTGATAAAGATGCCGGTAAGGCAGTCTGCAGTCACTTATCCAATGCAAGTGGGAATCTTGAAATGAGTTTTCATTTTTATATTATCTTTCTGGGAATTTCTTTTATTTCAGTGTGAGATGATATTATAACTATCATAAATATCATCTGGGCTTCTTTTGTATCTATGGGGTATCACTGATCTGCTAAGGACTGACCGTTTAGGAGTGTGGTTTAGGTCGGGGTTTGGGGGAGGGGTGCTGAATTGGCATGAGAAAATCGAAGTTGGATCTCTTGCTCCATAAACAACTAGGTTTATTATGACCGTGGAACTGGGCCTTAGCTTCCTCGCTTGTGAAATAGGATGAAATTGGCCTCTGCTGGCTCTCAGGGTTGTTACTTTAGGCCTAATACAATACAACAGCACTGTGGGTCTTGGAAGAAGGCAGGTTAGTTATAAAACTTAATGGTTAGTTTGAAGATCATAAAATTCAAAGGTCTAGGCTACTTGCTGTACACTATTTTATAACTATGAACTTTATTTCACTCCTTTATCTTATTTCATTTTGCTTCCATTTCCCTTTCTTGACAGAGAGTCTGAAGCACGTGTTTCAGTGGCTTGGGTTTGAAGTACAGGTATACTATGATAAGACTAAAGTAGACATGGAGGAGATGCTGCAGGAATATAAGAGGCATCCAGGCCATGCTGATGGGGACTGCTTCGTGTGCTGTATTTTGACCCATGGGAAGTCTGGAGCTGTCTACTCCTCAGACGATGAACTCATTCTCATTCGGGAGATCACGTCTCATTTCACAGCCCAACACTGCCCTCTTCTAGCTCACAAACCCAAACTCTTTTTCATCCAGGCCTGTCAAGGTAAAGAGATACAGCCTTCTGCATTTATTCAACCAGATGCTTTGAATCCTGATCTCAGGGAGATGAACGTGCAGGACAGCATCCCCGTTGAGGCAGATTTCTTGCTTGGTTTGGCCACCGTCCAAGGCTGTGTGTCCTTTCGGCATGTGGAAAAAGGCAGCTGGTATATTCAGTCTCTGTGCAACCATCTGAAGGAGTTGGTTCCAAGGTTAGAGTTCTGAGTTGTTTCACACACCTGTCCATCTAGCCACCCATCTATTTACCTGTCCATCCATCTGGAAAGGGAGATCCAGAGAAAAGAGACAGTCCATGCCCATAAGTTATTCACTCTCTGGAGGAGTAGAAAAAGAAGCAGAATGGAGTGCCCAGTGATCAACACACACCATAAAGCAGGGTGTTGTGGAAGCATGTAGCATGCAACAGGACCAAGGGAGACTTGTAGAGATGAAAAATAGATGTTAGGCAAAGAAGTAGGGGAACTATGTGCTGGGCAGAAGAAACAGCGTGAACATAGGCATGGAGCCTTTTATTGATTCCTTCATTCATTTGTCACTCATTCATATTTAGTGTCTACCATATGCCATGTTTGGAGTCCTGGTGTGGCTCTGTGGGTTAATGCACTGGACTGCAAAGTCTGTTTGAACCGCAAGGTCGGTGATTTAAGCTCACCAGCTGCTCCTAAGACACCCTATACAGATTGCTATGCAATATAACCGACGCAACAGCACTTAACAACAACAACAATGTGTCACTTTCACCTTCCCTGACATTATATTATCCTTGGTCGCCTGCCATTACTCTGACAATTTCACTTCTGTCTCTGCCACACATTCCTTACCTGGTCCTCTGAAAAATAAGCTTTTACTGACATTCTTCCCTGGACTCCATCTCTGCTCACTCTCTTTCTGTAGCCCTTCTTGGCAACTTCAAGTTCTCGGAAATTATCTCCCAATCTTGGGTCTCTGAGCTCTTGGAGATCAGAGACCCCATTTCATTCAACTTTGTACCTATTCCTCTGGACCAGACACAGTGATTGATATTTTGTTAACCTGGATAAATATTTGTTTCACAGAAGGATAGTCTCATTCTTCAGTTCAGATCTAGACAGTACTCACTGCCGGCCCCTCCCAACTCTGGCTTTTGGACCTGACCTTCAGCATGTCCAGTCCTGTGTTCATCTTCCCAGTCCTCTCCAGGAGTACTTCCTCCAGAGTCCTGATTTCTGGGAATATCCATGATACTTTTCTGGGAATCCAGGATTGAAGACTTTGCTATTCCCTCTACTCTAACACCCTCCCATTCCCACCATAGTCATCAATGACAATTGTCCTATGACTTCATGGACAAGGCGATATTTATTGATGACCTAATATATGATTAAGGAGCCCTGGTAGTGTAGTGGGTTATGTATTGCGCTGCTAATCACAAGGCCAGCAGTTCTAGTCCACCAGGCAGGCACTCCGTGGAGAACTATGAGGCACTCTACTCATAAAGTATAACTGCCTCGGAAGCCCTATACAGTGTCGCTATGAGTCAGAATTGACTCTACAGTACTCAGCTACCTCCCCACCCTTCCATCACTATGTCATAACTGTTTGTTGGGTACTCAGTTGTAAATAAGAGAGAGAAGATCTCCTCTGTATGGAGCTTACAGTCTTTAGGGAAGTAAATGTAAACAAATAGCTATATTAGAAAGGTAATTTCTGGTAGGGGCAGTGGTGCTAATTGAGAAGGCTTCTCATAGAGGTGGGGCAGAAAGATGAAAAGGAATTGGTCACAGGAATGTTTGGAGGCAAAAACAGCTAGCGTAAAACAGGATAAAGGCCCAACTGTCAACACTCATGGAAGCAGCAGTCAAGAGATCAGACGACGTATTGCATTAGGCAAATCTGCTGCACAAGACCTTTTTAAAGTGTTGAAGAGCAGACATGTCAGCTTGAGAACTAAGGTGCGCCTGACCCAAACTATGGTATTTTCAATAACCTCATATGCATGTGAAAACTGGATAGTGAATAAGGAAGACCATAGAAGAATTGATACTTTTTTTATTTTTTTTATTTTTTAAATGTTTTTATTTTGGATTGAGTGAAAGTTTACAGGGCACATCATCAGCTTCACATTCAACCATTCATATAGCTTGTTTCATTACATTGATTATTATCCCCTCCATATATCATCAGTTAACAGTGTTTCTCTCTATCCTCTTTAGCTTTTTTTTTGGGGGGGGGGGTGGTGGTGAATGGGGAACTCGCCTTTTTGGAATTTACAGTCTCGGCTTTTAGGGAAGGTTTTTACATTTGTCTGTGGATATCCAAGGCTCATGTATGAGATTACTGACAAGCATTACTGAATAATCAGAAGAGGGACAGTTTGCTATGTCTACTAGGTGGCTAAAGTCTGATCCTCAGAGCCTATGGTTTGGACGGTCAACAACGCTTGGGCCCACAGGATCTTGACCTCCTGACCGGGTCTGCACAGTCTGCATCAGATTCCCCCTTATTTATTGTTTGTTTAAGGGACGCTGCCTGTCTTAGGCGGTCAGTGCAAATTCCTCAGTCTTACCCGTCATCGAAACTCATTGCAGCATGGCAATGGCTCTGTCTTAGGTTGCCGAGGTTCCACGTGATCCTTACCCGTCTCTGGCCACACGTCCAGCATAAACAGCTGCCATCTGAGGAAGGCAGGGAGGGAGGAGATCGACTGGGGATCCCATACGCAAGACGTTGCCAGCCCACCACCTGCTCTAAGGAGACCAAGCAGGATCACTATGCTGAGGTTCAATCAAGTTCTTAGGGGATCTTACTCTCTAGCAGGGGTAGCAAATTAGTAGCCACTCAGTGCTCACTTTGAGAATTACTTATATCAGAAATTTGAGCATGTAGCTAATGAATATCCACAGACAAGTGGATATTATTCCACAACTTCCTAAAATGCTGTTGGATTATGAGTGAGACTAATATCCCTAGACAGTTGATTTACATGGTGGGCAGGGCAAAAAAAGGTAACAAAGGAATTGATACTTTTGAGTTATGGTGTTGGAGGAGAATATTGAAAGTGCCATGGACTGCCAAAAGAACCAATAGATCCGTTTTGGAAGAAGTGCAACCAGAGTGCTCCTTGGAGACCAAAATGGCCAAACTTCGTCTCTCATACTTCGGACATATTGTCAGGAGAGAGCAGTCCTGGAGAAGGATATCATGTTTGGTAAGGTGGAGGGTCAGAGAAAAAGAGGAAGACCCCCAGCGAGATGGATTGGCCAAGTGGCAGCATTGATGGACTCAAGTGTGGCAACAGTAGTGAGGTTGGCCCATGATCAGGCAGTATTTCGTTCTGGTGTGCTTAAGGTCGCTTTGAGTTGTACTAACTGGATGGCACCTAACAACAACAACACCAAAAATAGGGATGGCTTTATTAGTAGTAGGTTTTCTTTCTGTCTGTCATCTAGCTACTTACTTCCTTGTTTGAAGAGAGAAATAGAAGACAATTATATGCCAAATTCCTTTGTGGATCAAGTGTCTTAAAATACAAGGTGTGATTATTTTTTCTTTTCTTTTTTTCCTCATTCATGTATTCATCAAGGTGTGATTATTATAATGTTTTTTTAAAAAAACTTTTTATTGTGATTTGAATGAAGGTTTACAGAGCAGCTCATTAGTTTTTCATTTATTATAATGTTTTTAATCACTGAATGTGTTATTGTTGTAGTTAAGTGCCATTGAATCAGTTCCAACTTATAACGACCCTGTATAGGGTTTCTGAAGAGTGACTGGTGAGTTTGAATTGGTGACCTTGTGGTTCAAACCAACCTTGCGGTCCTGTGCTTATCCTACAGTGCCACACCAGGACTCCAATCACTGAATGTAGCATACAGAAAAATGTTGTATAATTTAGTCTTTCATTTTCAATTTTACAAGCAGGTTTTTTTTCTTATTTTTTGCAAGACCCCAGTTAGAGTCTTGGCATGTTAGAATAGGAAGGAACAATGGGCATAGGTATGTGGTTTATGCCTTCTGATTAGATATGTTTTCTTCTCTCCCTGCAGGCATGAAGACATTTTATCTATTCTTACAGCTGTCAATGATGATGTAAGCCGGAAAGCAGCCAAGCATGGAACACAGAAACAGATGCCTCAACCTGCATTCACATTACGCAAAAAACTAGTCTTCCCTGTGCCACAGGGAGCACTTTCCTTTTAGTAGGGTTGTCATGGACTCTTAGACTTAAATGAACTTTGTTCGTCTCCTCCAGTCCTACTCAGCATAGGAATTGGTGATGAATCATCTCTGCCTGTCATTTTATAATAGGAAATGCCCTGTTTTCTAACACAACCAATTCTTTTTGTTTGTTCTGTTTTTGCAAATCTGAATGTTGGAAAACTTCATTTGTTGAAGAGTTGAATTGTAGACTTGGCATTATTTGTATACTCTGAAGAGCATCACTTGGTTTGCTCATCTGTGAAATGAAATGTGGGAACAGGGAGATTTTAAGGTTCCTTTGAGATCTAAAAAAGTACTATAACTGACCTGATCTAGGGTGAGCTCTGATTCTTTTCCATTATAACCATCCATTGGCTTTAATTCTGTACCTCCTGCTGCATTGTCTTGATTTGGACCATGGGCAATGACAAGGTCTACTGACCTTCCTGATGTTCTTCCCCTTCCGAAGTCTTCTCTTCTACACATCGATGGAGGTGCCAACTCAGGCTATGGCATATGAATTTCCTGCTTTGATGTAAGGAAGGTATTGTTGGAAGAACTTTTTTCATAGACTGGTGCAGGCTTGGCTCTAGGAAGAACATTTACAATCTGATATCAAATTCAGTTGCTGGTGACAGAACATTCAACTGCACTGATTTAAGCAAAGAAGAACACTTATTGCCTGTTTCACTTGAAAAGCCATGTCCCCTTACTCAGGAGAGACTTGAGTCAGGACAGAATCTATAGGACGTCATCCTTCTTGTGGTTGAGAATTCTAGGACTTGGGAGCTGCAGCCAACAGCCTCCAACTTGTCATGAGTACTCTCCTTTGGCAGGGAAAAAAAGTAGAAAGGAAAAAGGAAGTCTCGTGGACTGAAGTTAGTCACAATGATCATTGGTCTTTCTTCTTACCCAGAGTGGCTGGAGCGGGTGGCTGTGGACGGACACTTTTGTACTCTTAAATACACTTTTTATATAATTAAAATGTACTATGTAATTAGAGATTTTGAACATTACATACATTTGACTTACTTTTAAAAAAAATTACAACAGGGATTTTTTTTTTTTTTTCCTTTTTAATTTCTGGAACTGTATTTTGAATTACTTAGTGAAGGTTTGTTTTGAATTCTTAAAAGTTAGCCCTGAAAAGGTGATTGAGACCTTCAGCTATACGTGAGAAAACTAAGGCTTGGAAAGCAGAACCAACTTGTTCATGGTGCTTCAGCCACTTGTTATTTATAGGATTTCACTTTCCACAAATGAAGGGAAATGTCCTGAGCCATCCAAGGACGTTTCGAACACACCCTTGAATTTGCAGACAGCCATGAAGGATGTCAACAAATAAAGAAAAATAACCTCAGAGGTGTCTACTTTTATACCTGTTTTTGTTAAAGTAAAATTTATTGGTGGTGAATTTATTATAAGAAATATGCATAAGAATACCATTTTAATGTAATTGATAATTACATGGATTTAAATATACTAAGTTTATATTTATATTTAAGTTTACTAAGGAATGCCAGACTGGTCTTCCAAAGCCGTTGTTCATACGAGTCAAGGCTAACAGCTTTGGCCAACTCGGTATACAAGAGTTTTCTTCGAAAATCACATGGAGTTCTTTGGCTTCTTTATAGCCCTCTGTTTAAATGAAGGATGGTGTGAATCAGTGAACAGAGCAAAAGATCTGGAGATCATAGCCTTGATTTTCTGTTTCCCTGTGACTCTTTTTTACTGAGACAGTAACCAAAATCACCCTAACCTTTTGAGTCTTACCTGAAAAACAGAAAAAAATATCTGTTGGGAGGATTAAGGAGAATGTGCACCCATGTGAAACTAATGTTTACAGTTGTGGGGTCTAGTTGGGAAGTTAACATGCTACCATTAAGGATTAGAAACATTTAAGACATAGTTGTTCAGTCCTAACAGTCTCTTTTCTGCAGTGTCTGCCGGCAAGACTATCTATCTCTCCAGCTTTCAGCCCTTTGGTCTGGCTTCTGCCCTGCTTGGATAGTGTTACAAACCTCTTATAGCACTTCTGATAAATGTCCAAAGGACACTCCATTCCACTATAAACCTCAGCACAAAGGTGCTCAGTTCTAGCCTGGCTTCCCAATTAAGTGCCTGGAGACCCTCTTTCCACAAGTGAGCCAACCTCCTGCCCAAAGGCACTCAGCTTTACTTGTTCTGGAAGCTGGGAAGCCCACCCCACCTTTGCAACTTCTCTAGTGTTACAGCTTTCTATCCCTGTATTGAGGGGGTTCTTGGGGTCCAAAGGACACACTCTACACCTGGCTCTTCTTTCTTGATGGTAGTGACATCTCCTCTTCTACTGCTGAGATGGCTCATTTTATACCCAGCAGGATGACAAAATTTAGGTAGCAGATCTTCTTCTGGTAGTAACTTAAATGGAATTTTCAGTGTTTGACTTCCTTTATGTCTAATGCCTGGTGACATTAGTAGCAGAGTCCTTGGGTGGTGCTAATGGTTAATGTACTCACCTTGTAACAGAAAGGGTGCAGGCTGGAGTTTACCTTGATGCAAATGGGAAGAAAGGCCTGGCTATCTACTTTTGAAAAATCAGCCTTAAAATTCCTATGGAGCTAACCTCCTATCAACCTTGAAATGAGAGATAAAGGAGGAAGGGCTGATTGGTCCAAAGTTTGGGGAGACTTGGGAACTCCTGAGTCATTGGACACTGAGCTTAGCTGCAGAGGACTAGAGCTAAAAGTGAAGCGTCCAGCTGATATGAAGTAAGGGGACAGGCACAAGAATGCCCAGACTTGTAGATAATACCCAGTTGATCTAGCTTCAATGGCTTGATTGTTCTTGTTGTTGTTATGTGCCGTGGAGTCGGTTCCGACCCATAGTGACCCTGTACAGGGTTTCTGAGGCTGTAAATCTTTACGGGAGCAGAAAGCCTCATCTTTCTCCCACAGAACAGCTGGTAGTTTCGAACTGCTGACTTTGAGGTTCACAGCCCGATTCATAACCACTATGCTACCAGAGTTCCTTACGGCTGTAAGCTCAAAAAACCAACTGAGAGAGAAGGAGTCTTCACATCAAGGATTAAGCTTATCCCCTCCATATACAAGATTGAGAGGGACAGGCACTTTAGACATTGGATACCTAAAATTGGGGGTGAAGGTGGCTATAAAAGCACGAAGTGGCTGGTTTATAAGTTTTCAAGAAGGAGTTTAGTTTCAGAGTGTGTGGAGAAGGTAGAATCCCCACTGAATAGTTTTCATCTTGTCTAGATGGATCTGGTAAAAGGAAATAGTGATAGGATTCTTTTGATTTAATAGTAAGTGTTATCATGACTAATTGCGATGATCATAACTGTAAAGGTAGAAGTTTTCTAACACAGAGCACGGAGTAGTTAATCTTACGTTCCAGGAACAGGATCATCAAAAGAGAAGAGCATAAGTGGAATGTGGGGCCCTATCCAGAGAAGCAGTGACACCAGAGATGGAGGCAGAGATGATGACACAGAGAGACAGAGAAGCTGAGGACTCTAGACTGATGGAAAGAGTGTGCTGGTGGCCAGGAGGCAGGCTTGCAGAATGTGCCCTTTGGTTGTTTAAATGATTACGTATTTCTTAGTATTTTTGTGTACATCAAAAACAAAAATTCAGAGGGATGGAAGCAAATACTGTTAAATGATGATACATGGAGGGGATTGTAATCATTGCAGTCAAACAAAATATGATAGGATGAATGCAAAACTAATGTTCTCCCATGTAAACTATCACTCAATTCTCAATAAAAGCTTTAAAAACAAAAAAAGTCCTATGGAGCATAGTTCTACTCTGCCACTGAAGAAGTTGCCTGAGTCAGAATCAAGAAGGACATTTTTTTAATATTGACCTTTATTTGTCTTCCCAGTTCCACTCCCTCCGCCCCCCCTGCTTTTTTTCTAAAAAAATTTTTTTAAACTTAAAATCAGGTCCCTGTTGATCCCAGGGACCTCTGTTCCTGGAGTGCCAAAACCACCACTCCCTTCCTTTTGTTGCAGATCGTTTACCTTTACATTTCCAAGCCTCACAGTCAGTCTTGATAGCAATTATTCACTATTGAACCACTAACGAACCAGTCTTATTCCCATCTCCTGTCACTAGCCCCGTCCAGACAGATTGGAAACTACTAAGTGGAGATTCTACCTTCCCCTGTACCCTTCAGATCTAGGCTCCCTCTTGAAAGCTTGTAAGGCAGTTACTTCTTGCCTTTATAGGTTCCCCCATTTTTGGTAGCCAATGTCCAACTTGCCCGTCCCTGTCAACCCTGTGTACTGAGAGGGGGTGGGAATGATTCTCACTGTAAATATTTGTTCCCTTTTTTGAGGTACTACATCCATAAACATAGGTCAAGTTCATCAAATTTTAGCAGATTACTCTTTTTTTCTTCTTCTAGTCGAGTTCTGATCATCCAGCCATCAAAGCCAGGTCAAGTGGGTACTCTGCAAGTATGGGTGTTCTTGTGCATCTCCCCTCATTTCATATCAGCTAGACGCTTCACTCTCTGCTCTAGTCCTCTGTGGCCATGACACTGCCTCTGGGCCCAGGAGTCCCTGGGTCTTGCCATACTGCTGGCCACCCTGGGGTTCACAGGGGTCTATTAAATGTGGTTGGACTTAGCTCACAACTTCATTGCTGTTTTTTCCCCGCTCTTTCCCTTATCGGTGACCAATGTGGTCACCAGCCAGACCACTTGCCTGCTCATGTATTCTCCTTGAGTCTCAGTCTTAGAAGAGGGTTTGCTGTGATGGGTCCCAACCACTTGCCTTGATGGCTTCCAAGCAAACAGCTTACTTGCTCTTGTAGTAATCAGTCAGACTGCTGTAATTGTTTTGAATTTTTCCTGCTGGTCTTTGCTGTTTTCCCCCCACTTCCCCTTATCAGTGACCAATGTGGTCACCAACAAGACCACATACCTGCTAGTTATTACCCTTGAGTCTCAGTCTTTTTTTTTTTTTTAAGTTTTTATTGTGAATTATGTGTTAGTTT